AGCATTAAAAGCAATACAAATTAAGATGTTGATGACATACGATTATTACAATGGTACTAAATGATTCTTTAGTTACTTTGAAGGCTCTTCTGTGTCCTGTGGTCCTTAAGTTTTTGTTATTAGGAACTTCAGCTATCCCCACATAATACTGCAAAATCCTTTAGCTGACCATGTGTATGAAGGGTGAAACTCTACTACATTTGATAAAAGACCAAGTACTAATTGTGTAAATTTGTGCAGTTATTTCATCTTTGAGCTTTAGTTCTTTAACCAGTAAAATGGAAATAACACCTACCTCTCAGGTTTGCTGTGGGAGTTAAACAAGAAATGAAGACCACTTGATAGGGTATTTGGCACCTAGTTGGGACCCAATAAACGTTAAGTTTCTGTTGTTATATAACTGCAGTTCTTTCTGTGAATACCCAGGGGACCATTACACAATGAGTGATAGAATCACTTTTGAGAGGGGCACTTTCAACATTTAATCAACAAATAGGATCTTTGCGGGGTGCCTGGGTGGCTTAGTCGGTTAAGCGTCCGACTTTAGCTCAGGTCATGATCTCGCGGTTCGTGGGTTCGAGCCTCGCGTCGGGCTCTGTGCTGACTGCCAGCTCAGAGCCTGGAGCCTGTTTCAGTCTGTGACTCCCTCTCTCTCTGACCCTCCCCTGCTCACACTGTCTCTCTCTCTCCTAGAAATAAATAAAACATTAAGAAAAAAACAAAAACAAAAAACAAATAGGATCTTTGCTTAATATCTGCAATTGCTAAACTAGGTGCCTAATATCCATAGAGAAAAAGAAAAAGTAACTTCCCAAGGGAGACTGAACCCTAAACAGAAAGTAGCAGCACTATGTGGCAAGCTTAGGGGACAGAAGCGGGGGGCAGGGGCTAAGAAGTCTGCTTAGGTGAGTGATGGAGGACTTCCCTGAGGAGGTTATATACTTCACGAGGAAGGAGTAGGAGCTGGCCGGGTAGAAGGGAAACAGGTAGGGGAGGACACAGAGATATAAGGAAGCACATTTTCTAAAATGAAGGAGCTATTTTCAGTACTTCTGAAACCATAAAAAAATAAAAATAAAAAGCTTTAGCAAAAGAGAAAGGACAGTTGACTGACAGCAGTGGTTTCTGAGTGATTTGATCTTGCCAGGGATGGGGAACCACTGGGGAATTTTGGGCAAGGAGATAATGTGAAAGGGGTAAATGGAAAAAAGTGGGAGAATGACACCTACGGTGAAGGTGTGTATTCCTGAGTGGAAGAGAACCTGGCAGGCTCAAGGCCACACCCACTTCGCCTCACTCATTCAAATAGTTACCCAGGGCCTGCAGACAACCAGGCCGAATTCCAGGAGCTGGACCTCAGGCAGTGAGCAGGACTGAAAAGGTCTCTGTTCTCATAGAAGAGACTGACCCTAGATAAACAAGTAAACAAGCAAGGAAGTATCCGATAAGCACCTCTTGGAAAATCAAACCAGGTGATAAAAGAGCTTCGATGGGCTCCTACCCCCCCCCCCCCCCCCCCCCCCCCACTTCTGGATATTCCCAAGCCTTCTCTAGATCCAAGTTTGGTTTCCCGAGGAGGCTCTGCTCCTAGAAAAAAATCTCTACAGTAAATAATTAACTTAGGTTTCTGTGCACTTCCAGTAAGCCTGTGTGGAGACAGTCAACTAGTCTTCTCCAGGGGTTGGTCACTTTGTAATCCTTGCTTCGGGACCACCCGCTTCTGGTACAAATCTCAAGTGTAAGGCTAGGGGAAGGTCACAGCAACCTTGAGACCTTTCCTGATCATTGTTCCCATGGCAACCTCTGACTTCCCCTATCAGTAAGCCCTTTCCTTTACATATCCTTTAGAAGAGAAACATTTGATAGCATGGTTGAAATTGTGTATTCCTGTCCTCTGAAAGGTGCAAACTTTTAAAACACACCCGCTGCTCCTGACAGGAGCGCCCCCCGGCCCCCTCCCTACCCTGGTTTCTAGAGGGCTGGTCGGGGAATCCCCACTGCCGAGTTCCCTATGGCTGAACTGCCTGTCACCACCAGGGCTCTATGTATGGCAGGGCTCCCCAGAGCCAACGGCATGCGGGCCAAGAACACAAAAGCGAACGTTGTTGTTAGAGGTAACCGGACAGATTAGGGACTGAGAAAGCTGAGAAAGCTTCCCAGCGTGCATGGCCATGGTCTTTCCCCGTCTGACTCATTTACGTACCTCGAAGGTTCCCAACCTCCCCGCCCAGCAGTGTGTGTGTGTGTGTGTGTGTGTGTGTGTGTGTGTGTGTAATACAAACTTTCTGAGACACAGGAAAGTTCTCTGTGTTTTAGGGAAATCTAGTGATCTAGTGAAAGCCCCAGGAGGGTCTTTCTGATTTTGGCCAGCTTCTCTGGACTGTTTGAAAGTCATAGTTTGCCCTTTGGGGACTTTGGCAGTCAGTGATGACTGTTAGGGCCCCTGCTCAGAGGAGTTTTTAATTCTACTTTGGAGGAAGACGATGCTAATAAAAGCCTTCTTTTCCTTTTCTTTCTTCTATTTTTTTTAAAAAAGCAGTTTACATTTTAGGTGCTTTCACATTCTTAATGCCATTAAAATGATAAACTCTGAGCCCAAAGGAAATTTAGAGACCAACTGGGAGGAGCAGGGGAGTGGCAAATACCTGGCCTAATACCAGCCACTTCCTAAGCTCCTGCCCAAAATAGACATTGCTAATCGATCACTCACTCGTTCATTATTGAACACTTACTTATTGAACATCCTCCACGTTCCACGTGTTATGTTAGGAATATAGCAGGAAACCAGACAGACTTGTTTGCTATGCTTATGGACCTCCAAGGGGGAGGCAGACATTAAACAAATAATTATAGGCATGATGAGTGTTTCAAAAAGACAGAGTATGGGGGCAGACAAGGGCATCACATAACCTGGAAGTATCCTGGGGGTGGAGAGGGGTCAGGAAAGGTCTTTCCGAGGAAGAAATGTTTAAGCTGAGGTCTAGAGGGTGAGGAAACTGAGTCTGTTGGAGGGTGGGAAAAAAAAAAGAAGCATTACATGCTGGTATGAAGATGACATGGGTCAGCGCCTATTCCATGGCTAAATGAGAGGGTATGGATACTAAATGGGGGTGTAGTTGTTTAGAGAGAGACAGAGGTTGGTCTAGCCAGGCCTTGGAAGAAAAACCGGAGAGGGCTGGAAGGTCAGATTGAGCAAAGGTCCGATTTATTGTTTATCCACCCCCTTCCTAGGCAATTATGCTCTCACAGGCTATTTGGGAAAAAAAAAAAACTATAAATTATAGGATATCTACTAAGTAGTGGCAATTCTTATGAATTCTTACATCTTCCTTGTGAGATAAGTATTATTTTTCCAGTTTTACAGATTTAGAAAAAAACGTTTGGGAGGACTAGAGAGATAGTTGTTTGCTAAAGCTGGCCATCAAGTAGGCAGTAGAGCTAGGATTTGAGCAGCTACACTTTCCACACTCCTCACTGCCATAAAATCCCCAGACCGGGCTTGCTCTAAAAGCAATCAAATAAAACTTGGAAAGCAACAGAAGGGCTTTAATTCGAAAGTGTTACGGGAGGAAAGGGTCGGCAGAGATGCCCCAGGTGACTAAACATCATGCGGCAGAAGGGTGCCAGGAAGAAACCGAGTCCTGGTAGAAGGTGTGTAGTGGGGCAGGGAGCGGGCAAGGGACGGGTAGGAATGGGAAGGCGTGAGAAGTGACTGGGAGGGCGTCCTGGGCTCCTTCAGGGCTTCGCTGCTGCGGGGAGTTGCCCAGCTCTAACCACTACCCGGCCCTGCCCGGTTAATCATTTCCTGACCTTCCTTCCCCCTTTCGCCCTGCCCGCTGGATTGCCACATCAGCCCCCCCCCCCCCCCCCCCCCCCCCCCCCCCCCCCCCCCCGGCTCGCCTCCTGGCCCTGCTGCTCCTTCGCCGGGTTTTACGAGATGCTCCAACTTTGAGGCAATATTTGTAATAGCCCCGGACGTCCTCAAGGCCATTCCCCAGAGAGATCGCAGACTAGCTCGGGTGTAATGACTGCTCATGCTGATCGTTGAGGATTGCCCTGTCCTCCTTTCTACAGAGAGGTCTGAGAGCGAGGGATCCAGTCCTCGCATGGATTAACCAATTCCCCAAAGCCAAACAGGGTACTGTAACAACAGCTGGTAGAGGGGGTGCGAGGTTTAAATGAGATGTTGTGCGTAAAGTGGCTGGCTAGCAGGTGTCCAACAAAAAGTAGTAGGACCTAACAAACGTTAGATCCCTTCCCTTTTCATCACGTAGTAATTGAGACCTCGCACTCAGCAAACCCAGGTTACGTCTATCTCACTTAAACCTCCACTAGGGGGTTAGGGATGAAAAGTCCAGCCACTTGCTCCAGGTAACGCAGATGGTGAGTCACAGTGACAAGATCTGAATCCAGGTTCGTGGGCGCCCCTGCGGCCCCAGCCATACAGCACCCAGGTGGCTGGCTAAAGGCTACGTGTTCAGAACCTAGAACCAGGTCAGGATCGAACCTGTCGCAGGGAGCATAACACTAAATAGGGACTGCTCTGGGATCTATGCAGCCTGCTGTGCCACCGGGAGCCAGCACCTAAACCTCTCTGCGCTTGTGTCTTCGTGTGCAAAATGGGAGCTAGAGTGCCTGTGTGCCCAGGTGGTTTTTGTTTTCTTCACACTTTCCTGAGTGGCCAGCTGTTCTACCACAGAGTAGTCAGACCACCACACACACAACACGCAGGATCAGTCTTCTCTGTGAGCACTCGCTCCTCCGTGGTAAACGCAGAGGACCTGCCGGGTGTGCGGGGGCTTGGCGCCCCACCCGTACCCAGCGGGGAAGCCACCGCCGCTCCGCGCTGCAGAGTTGGGAAGTCACTGGCGAACGCCGCGGGATTCTCAGGGCCACCCGCCCGCGCGCTCTGGAACCCCACCCGGAGGAAGAGGGCGGGGGCGGGGGCGGGGGCGGGGGCGGGGCCTGTCTAGGGGCGGGACGGGGCCGGCCTGAGAAGACGGAAGCCCTGAGCCTAGGGGTGGCGGTAGAACCCGGATCGCGGAATTCCACGTTCTTAGGAGCGGGGCTTCTGGAGACGGCGGGTGGGAAAACCCGGCGCCCGGAAGCCTCTGCTTTCTTTGACGCAAGGGCTCGGGACGCAGCCGCCGTCGGCCGAGCGCCCGGCGAGGAGCGACCCCAGACGGAGCCTTCGCAGCCGCGTCGCCCCCCCCTTCTCCCGGTCTCCGAGCCTCGCTCTTCCTCGCCACCCTCCTCGTGGCCATGGAGTGTCCGCACCTCAGCTCAAGCGTCTGCATCACTCCAGACTCAGCCAAGTTCCCCAACGGCTCCCCGTCGTCCTGGTGTTGCAGCGGTGAGTGCGGCCCCGGGGCGGCCCTGCCGCGCACCCGAGGCCCCGGTCTCGCCGGGCCTGCCGTCTAGGGACCGCGGGCGGCCGGCGCGCGGACCCAGGGTGGGGTGAGGGCGAGCCGGGCCCGGCGGCTGGGGAGGGGTACGCGGTGAGGCGGGCTCGGGCGGGCGCGGCGGGTGGAGCGGCGGCGGCTCCTTTGTTTCCCGCGGCCCGACGGCCCGGCCCGCTGAGGAGAGGCCCGTGAGGGGCGGGAGCCCGCGGGGGCCACGAGCGCGTGGGGGCAGCGGCGGGCGGGGGCCCGGGCCCGCGCGCTCGCCCCCCGCCCCGCCCTGCCGGGGGGCTGTGCTCACCCGTGTCGCCGGGTCCGGGGCTGTGGGGGCGGGTGTCCGGCCCCCACGCGGCGGCCGCACGTGTGGCGCGGCCCGGGTTGCGTCCCTCCTCGACCGCACGAGAAAAGCGCCGCTCGCCGGGCGCAGCTTTGTCTGGGCTGCGGGGCGCTCGGGGGCCCTTCGCCGCTTCCCCCGCCCCGCTTCCTTTCGCTTCCCTTCGCTTCCCGGCAGGCTCGGGCAACTCGATCCACGCCGGGTGGGAGCCCTCAGCCCCGAGAGGCGCTCGGGACTCGGGTGGCCGAGGTTGGAGTCTTTCGTCAGCCGGGAAGGGTGAAGTTTGAAGACAGGCTGCGGGCTAAACCGCTCCGGAGGCTGAGCCGGCAGCTGGTTTGGAGCGGCGGCTCGAGTTGCCTTTCACATCTTTTGGGTTGTCTGAAATTGCGTTAGGGCTCCCGAATTCGTGTGCTGTAGAACCGTTATTAGGTTTATGTACTGCCTTTGCGTTACTTAAGCATCTTAACTCCTTCTGCTGGGCTCTTTGGAAGCCCCAGTGCCCTCTTATTGTCTGCTCGAGCGACTTAGGATCGCACCAGCCACACTGCTTTGATTACTTCCTGGTAGGGCCCTAGTGCCGCCGCTAGTCTTTGTTTATTAGCTTTGAGACGATCAATGGTAGCTTGAGCTGGAGTGTAAAATTTGAGTTGTGTATTTCAAAAACCGTAAGTTCACTTGAAGAAATCTAGGAAAACAGCGATGGTACAGCTCAAGTGTTTGACATTTACCATTGTGGTTGGAGCTGGGAAGATAGTTGAGAGTATGTCTTAGCACTTTTGACAGGTTACTTCTTAAATGGTGATTATGTCCTTGGAGAAAAACATAGGCAGCGGCACAAAGAAAAAGGTACTGTAGGGTGAGGAACAGAAATAACTGCGGTTTCTTGGAGCTCTCAGAGGTTTGATGTTTTGCTTGCCTTTGCAAAGTCAGATGATCTTTTTCTGCACCAGGCCTTTAAAGATTAACTGGTTAAATTGGTTTTACAGTGCAGTATTGCAGGTTTTTTTTTTCTATGAAGGTGCAGAAACTTGTGCAAATTAGCTCTCACCTTTGAATTTCTCTTCCACAGTGAGTGTGGAGTATGGAAAAATAAGGTGTATCAAATCGCTTTACAGATTGGTTGGGGGTACATTAGCTGTAACTGTAGCTATAGCTGTGGTGCTGTTACGGTAACTTTTCATTTTTTTCCTAAGAGATTTGAAAAACAAATGACCAAAGTAAACACTACGCAAAGCTTATCTCTTGAAGATTGGTGGTCTTGCTCTTCTGTAGTAAACTTTAGGGATACAAAGTGGACAGCACACTTCTGATTTTTTCTAGGTAAAATCACATCACATTTAAAGATGGCCTTGCTGGGCCCGTGCATCTAAAAAAGAGGGGCACCTGGTGGCTCAGTTGTTTAAGTGTCTGACTCTTGGTTTTGGCTTAGGTCATGAACGGTTCATGGGATCATGCCCTGTGTTGGGCTCTTTGCTGACAGCACGGAGCATGCTTGGGATTCTGTCTCTCTGTCTCTCTGTCTCTCTCTCTGCTGCTCCTCCCCACCGCCCATGCTCATGGGTGTGCGTGTTCTCTCTCTCAAAATAAATAAGCTTTAAAAAAATTGAAAAAGGGAAAGAGTTTATGCAAGTGGCAGATACCCTGTTGTGAGTCAGTCTTGCCTTTGTCAGGGAGTCCACTTGACTGGAAATAAGTGCAGACCATTGAGTATCTCTTGAGGAACTTAAGTTAAAATGGAGCATAACTAACAGACTTGTGCTGATAACAAGAACAGAGTAGTATGTCTAGCCTTAAGGATGGGGTGATTTCTCTCCTAGGAGGAGGATGGCTGTCTTTGCATCTTGCAACAAAGCTTGTCTCTGACATTGCTTCACAAGGGTGGTTCTAGTCACATGCTTGGATTTCTAGAATGAATAAAGCTAGTTTCACAACTTTTTGTTTTTTTCCTTCTGTCCATATATTGTGAATTGAACCCATTTCTTTTTTTTTTTAATGTTTTATTTATTTCTAGGAGAGAGAGAGAGAGACAGCGTGAGCAGGGGAGGGTCAGAGAGAGAGGGAGTCACAGACTGAAACAGGCTCCAGGCTCTGAGCTGGCAGTCAGCACAGAGCCCGACGCGGGGCTCGAACCCACGAACCTCGAGATCATGACCTAAGCGAAAGTCGGACGCTCAGCCGACTAAGCCACCCAGGCGCCCCGAATTGAACCCATTTCTTGTGGACCTCCCATTTTAACCTGTTGGCATCCATTTGTTGATATAATCTATTGTATTGAGCTTGATCTTGTTCTTGCCTGCCTGCTTCACTGATTAAATGATTAGTTAAATCTGTGAGTCCTTAACTAATTCATCATTTTGGAGTGTTATGTATTCTTGTATTTATTCTCTAACTCTTGAGTTTATTTTCTTTCTTTTTTTTTCTTTTTGGTAGGGAACCAAAAGGGTAGCCAGTGTGTTGAATAATGCTGTGACTGGGTATTGAGTCTGATTACATTCTTATTAAGGAGGAAAAAAAAATTCCCTGTTTTGGCATTGGTACAATAAAAGTAATGCCCTTGCCTTGTTTTCTTTGGGAGCTCGCAATTACACCACAGTGAAACAGCCTTAAGGCAGCCAAGCAAATTGCAAAAGGCCAACGTCCTAGGCTCTGTTAGCTAGCAGTACATCCTTGGACAAGTAATTCTTTTTCTTTTGCCCATCACTTTGATTATGTCATCTGTAAAAAAAGAAGAAAAAAGGGTAATACTTCACATCTACTTCACAGGTTGCTGCTAGGATGAAAAAGGTAATTTTTTGTAAAAGTGTTGGGAGATTCCTGTACACTAGTCAAGTAATGGGTGGTATTAGAGCCGGAACATCTTTATAAATAGGACTCTCTCTGCATACTTAAATATCTAAAGCCCCTTAAATAGGGCCTAGGACAGACTGGCTTTATGCTGAATTATGCTTTGCAAGGAGATACATTTCTCAACAAGATTAGGAGGTGTAAGAAGTAATTATATTTCAGCATTAACTTGAGCTTCTTACTTATGGAAGGCACTCTATGTTAGGTTATATAATTGTGTACTACAGTGGTTCTCAAACTTTTTCTTCTCAGGACCCCTACATACTTAAAAATTATTGAGACCTCAGCTTTTGTATGCCTTGTTATCTGGTGAAAATCTCTGCACTAGCTATTAAAACAAAATTTAAATATATTTCAGTGAGTCATTCACACATAATGGTAATAAATCCATTACCTGTTAATAGAAATAATGGTTTACATAAAATAACTATACTTTTCAAAACAAAGGATTAATAAGGAGAGTGGCGTTATTTTACATTTCTGCATCTCTTATTGTCCAGCTTAATAGGGGACAGCTGCATTTTTGTATCTGCTTCTGCATTCAGCCTCTTGAGATACCACACATCATGTAGCCTCTGGAAAACTCCACAGCATGCTTGTGAGAGAATGAGGGTAAACAATAAAAGTAACATCTTCATATTACTTATGAAAATGATTTGACTTCACTGTACCCTTTTTTTAAAAAATTTTTTAATGTTTTATTTATTTCTAGGAGAGAGAGAGACAGCATGAGCAGGAGAGGGTCAGAGAGAGAGGGAGACACAGACTGAGAAGAGCCAGGCTCTGAGCTGGCAGTCAGCACAGAGCCCGACGCAGGGCTCGAACCCACGAACCGCGAGATCATGACCTAAGCGAAAGTCGGACGCTTAACCGACTAAGCCACCCAGGCGCCCTGACTTCATTGTACCCTTGACAGGGTTTTGGAAAATCTCAGGGGTCCAGGAACACACTTTGAGAATGCACTAGTATACAGTTATAGTAACTGTAAAGGACAATTGCTCTAATGAAAAGCTTTAGAATACTAGAGAAATCCCTAAGGCTAGCCACATTTATGTCTTTGTGGAATTTTTCAAATATATTTGCTGGCAACAGATCCAGTTCTACTGGGGTCCAGTTGTCCTGTCCTCTCAAAAAAGAGTTACAGTCTAATCTTGTTGGTGAGAGACAGGAAGCTAACAGGTTAGAAGATAAATCCATGTTGTGGTTTAAGGTAAATGTTGAAAATAGCAATTTCCTAATAAGGTAAAGGCTGACTTATGTCTAATCTTTGCTAAAGGCATTCTCATTTCAAGTGAAAAAGTTTTAAATAAAAACTAGGACATTCTCTGAAGATCTTTGTTATGTGCACATACCAGATGTTATTTTCAGAAGCTGGAGGCTTGGGCATTTCTTATTTTTTGGGTAAAAGGACTGAACCAGTGGTAAAATACAAGGGAAAAAAACACATTGTTTAAAAAGATGCCCTAAACACAACTGTTTTAATAACTAAAGAAAGCCAAAGAATAAGCATTTGGACCTCAGGCGTTTGAATTCAATAAAATAGCCAGTTACAGTGGAGATATTTTAATAGCATAGGCATGAGAATTTTTTCTGATTAATTCTTCAAAGAGCTGAGAATGCCTCTTTAAGTTTCCAGTACACAGTTACCCTCACATTATTCTACCCAGGAAGAGTAAGTGTAGATGAAATAAATGCTCTACAACTGGAGGTGGATGTTAGAGATAGCCCTCCTTTTTTGAAGATCCCTTTAGTAAGAATAGGTGCTGATTATTGAGT